GAGTAGAGTAGGGTAGAGTAGAGTACAGTAGAGTAGAGCAGCATAGAGTAGCATTGAGTAGAGTGGAATAGAGTAGAGTAGAGTAGAGTAGACTACAGTACAGTAGAGTAGAGCAGCCTAGAGTAGCATTGAGTAGAGTAGAGTAGAGTAGAGTAGAGTAGAGTAGAGCAGCATAGAGTAGCGTTGAGTAGAGTAGAGTAGTGTAGGGAAGGGAAGAGTAGAGTAGCATTGAGTAGAGTACAGTAGAGTAGGGCAGCATAGAGTAGAGTAGAGTGGGGTAGAGTAGATCAGCATAGAGTAGAGTAGAGTAGGGTAGGGTAGAGTACAGTAGAGTAGAGTAGGGCAGCATAGAGTAGCGTAGAGTCGAGTCGAGTCGAGTAGGGTAGGGTAGAGTAGGGAAAAAAAAACCTTTATTGACAAAGAAAGACAACAAAGTGTTTCATGGATAATCAGTGTGAATTCCACTTTATGCTACGTGTTTGTCATCATGGCATTTCCTGCGTTCGTGCTCTTTGATTCTCTGATCTGTTGCTGCAGAATCAGCAACTTTGTACAGTCCTCGACAACGGACGACAAATGTTGTGATTCAGAGTTTTACACAAATACATTGAATGGATTTGAGTGTGTTCTCTGACAGGGTAAGAACGGGAAAGTGAAAAGATCCGGATGGACTCGGGTCACGTTAAGATTCTGTCCCGTCGTCCGTAAAATACTTCCAATAACTTTGAAATTAGTTTTTTTGTTTTTTAGGCCCGGACAGAGAAGCATCCAAGCGTCTCCAACGGCTCAGAGGAAGGAAGGGGAGATAAAACATGAAGGAGAGGTCGGGGAAGATGATGCCAGGAATTGATTGGGGAGAAAGAAGCCGTGTAGTTCCAGACAGAGGAGGAGGAGGAAGAGGAGGAAGAGGAGGATGAGGAGGAGGAGGAGGAAAGGTGAGAGGAGACGACCGGAATCGCAAAGGAGCCGGCGGAGGAGACGGGAATGAGAAGTGGGACGCAGCTCCGTGAAGCAGAGATCAGGACACACAGGTCAGGGGAAGAGGATGATTCCACTCAATTCACTGTATTTTTGTAAAGTCTCTCTCTGGTCTCTCTCTGGTCTCTCTCTGGTCTCTCTCTGGTCTCTCTCTGGTCTCTCTCTGGTCTCTCTCTGGTCTCTCTCTGGTCTCTCTCTGGTCTCTCTCTGGTCTCTCCCTGGTCTCTCCCTGGTCTCTCTCTGGTCTCTCTCTGGTCTCTCTCTGGTCTCTCTCTGGTCTCTCTCTGGTCTCTCTCTGGTCTCTCTCTGGTCTCTCTCTGGTCTCTCTCTCTGGTCTCTCTCTCTGGTCTCTCTCTCTGGTCTCTCTCTCTGGTCTCTCTCTGGTCTCTCTGGTCTCTCTCTGGTCTCTCTCTGGTCTCTCTCTGGTCTCTCTCTGGTCTCTCTCTGGTCTCTCTCTGGTCTCTCTCTGGTCTCTCTCTGGTCTTTCTCTGGTCTCTCTCTGGTCTCTCTCTGGTCTTTCTCTAGGCTCTTGCTCTGGTTTCTCTCTTTCTGAGAGAGCGCCACATGGCGCCGTGGCAAGAGCTCTGGTGTGTGCCGTCTGGTGCACACACTAGTCTTGCACAGTTTTTCCAATGTGGTTTTACTGCAAATGGCAAATAAATAAATGAATCTGAATCTGGTCTCTATCTCTGGTCTCTCTCTCTCCAGTCTCTCTCTAGTCTTTCTCTAGACTCCCACTCTGGTCTCTCTCTCTGTTTCTGGTCTCTCTCAGGTCTCCATTTCTGATCTCTCTCTGGTCCATTCCTGGCTTCTCTCTCTGGTCTCTACCTGCTCTCTCTCTCTGGTCGGTCTCTCCCCGGTCACTATCTCTCAGGTCTCGCTCTCTCTCCGGTCTCACTATCTCTCTCTGGTCTCTATCTCTCTCCGGTCTCTCTTTCTCTCTCTCTGGTTGGTCTCACTCTCCGGTCTCTCTCTCTCTCTGTCTGGACTGTCTCTCTCAGGTCTCGCTCTCTCTCTCCAGTTTTTCTCTCTCTCTCTCTGGTCTCTCTCTCTGGTCTCTCTCTGGTCTCTCTCTCTGGTCTCTCTCTCTGGTCTCTCTCTCTGGTATCTCTCTCTCTGGTATCTCTCTCTGGTCTCTCTCTCTGGTATCTCTCTCTCTGGTATCTCTCTCTGGTCTCTCTCTCTGGTCTCTCTCTCTATGGTCTCTCTCTGGTCTCTCTCTCTATGGTCTCTCTCTGGTCTCTCTCTCTCTGGTCTCTCTCTCTGGTATCTCTCTCTGGTCTCTCTCTCTGGTCTCTCTCTCTATGGTCTCTCTCTGGTCTCTCTCTCTCTGGTCTCTCTCTCTGGTATCTCTCTCTCTGGTCTCTCTCTCTGGTCTCTCTCTCTGGTCTCTCTCTCTGGTATCTCTCTCTCTGGTATCTCTCTCTGGTCTCTCTCTCTCTCTCTCTGGTCTCTCTCTCTCTCTCTCTGGTCTCTCTCTCAGGTATCTCTCTCTCTGGTCTCTCTCTCTGGTCTCTCTCTCTGGTCTCTCTCTCTGGTATCTCTCTCTCTGGTATCTCTCTCTGGTCTCTCTCTCTGGTCTCTCTCTCTCTGGTCTCTCTCTCTGGTATCTCTCTCTCTGGTATCTCTCTCTGGTCTCTCTCTCTCTTGGTCTCTCTCTGGTCTCTCTCTCTGGTCTCTCTCTCTGGTCTCTCTCTCTCTGGTCTCTCTCTCTGGTCTCTCTCTGGTCTCTCTCTGGTCTCTCTCTGGTCCCTCTCTGGTCTCTCTCTCTGGTCTCTTTCTCTGGTCTCTCTCTCTGGTCTCTCTCTGGTCTCTCTGGTCTCTCTCTGGTCTCTCTCTGGTCTCTCTCTGGTCTCTCTCTGGTCTCTCTCTGGTCTCTCTCTGGTCTCTCTCTGGTCTCTCTCTCTGGTCTCTCTCTCTCTGGTCTCTCTCTCTGGTCTCTCTGGTCTCTCTCTGGTCTCTCTCTCTGGTCTCTCTCGGATCTCTCTCTCTGGTCTCTCTCTGGTCTCTCTCTGGTCTCTCTCTGGTCTCTCTCTCTGGTCTCTCTGGTCTCTCTCTCTGGTCTCTCTCTGGTCTCTCTCTGGTCTCTCTCTCTGGTCTCTCTGGTGTCTCTCTCTGGTCTCTCTCTGGTCTCTCTCTTTGGTCTCTCTCTGGTCTCTCTCTGGTCTCTCTCTCTGGTCTCTCTCTGGTCTCTCTGGTCTCTCTCTCTGGTCTCTCTCTGGTCTCTCTCTGGTCTCTCTCTGGTCTCTCTCTCTGGTCTCTCTCTGGTCTCTCTCTGGTCTCTCTCTCTGGTCTCTTTCTCTGGTCTCTCTCTGGTCTCTCTCTGGTCTCTTTCTCTGGTCTCTCTCTGGTCTCTCTCTCTGGTCTCTTTCTCTGGTCTCTCTCTGGTCTCTCTCTTTGGTCTCTCTCTGGTCTCTCTCTGGTCTCTCTCTCTGGTCTCTCTCTGGTCTCTCTCTCTGGTCTCTCTCTGGTCTCTCTCTGGTCTCTCTCTGGTCTCTCTCTGGTCTCTCTCTCTGGTCTCTCTCTGGTCTCTCACCTCTGGTCTCTCTCTGGTCTCTCTCTCTCTCTCTCTGGTCTCTCACTCTGGTCTCTCTCTGGTCTCTCTCTCTGGTCTCTCTCTGGTCTCTCTCTGGTCTCTCTCAGGTCTCTCTCTCTGGTCTCTCTCTCTGGTCTCTCTCTGGTCTCTCTCTCTGGTCTCTCTCTGGTCTCTCTCTCTGGTCTCTCTCTGGTCTCTCTCTGGTCTCTCTCTGGTCTCTCTCTCTGGTCTCTCTGGTCTCTCTCTGGTCTCTCTCTAGGGTCTCTCTCTGGTCTCTCTCTGGTCTCTCTCTGGGGTCTCTCTCTGGTCTCTCTCTCTGGTCTCTCTGGTCTCTCTCTCTGGTCTCTCTCTCTGGTCTCTCTGGTCTCTCTCTGGTCTCTCTCTAGGGTCTCTCTCTGGTCTCTCTCTGGTCTCTCTCTCTGGTCTCTCTCTGGTCTCTCTCTGGTCTCTCTCTGGTCTCTCTCTCTGGTCTCTCTCTGGTCTCTCTCTGGTCTCTCTCTCTGGTCTCTCTCTGGTCTCTCTCTGGTCTCTCTCTCTGGTCTCTCTCTGGTCTCTCTCTGGTCTCTCTCTCTGGTCTCTCTCTCTCTGGTCTCTCTCTCTGGTCTCTCTCTGGTCTCTCTCTGGTCTCTCTCTCTGGTCTCTCTCTGGTCTCTCTCTGGTCTCTCTCTCTGGTCTCTCTCTCTCTAGTCTCTCTCTGGTCTCTCTCTGGTCTCTCTCTGGTCTCTCTCTCTGGTCTCTCTCTGGTCTCTCTCTAGTCTCTCTCTGGTCCTGGTCCTCTGTCACTTCCTGTAACGACGTGCTGCTCCGTGTAAATATGAAAACATGAAATGATTCAGGACGCTGTGTAATTAGCCGAGGCGTCTCCATGACAACCGGCGTCAGCGGCTCACGGTGTGGCTTTGTTAGAGTCACCTGTGCGAGTCCACATGCCGCCGCACAAAGGACCATGTGGGGTCTGTTTGGGTCTGTTTATCTCGGCTTCTCTGCCCCCCCCCCCCCCCCTGCTCTCTCTGGTCTCTCTCTGGTCTCTGTCTCTGGTCTCTCTCTGGTCTCTGTCTCTGGTCTCTCTCTGGTCTCTCTCTCTGGTCTCTCTCTGGTCTCTCTCTCTGGTCTCTCTCTGGTCTCTCTCTGGTCTCTCTCTGGTCTCTCTCTCTGGTCTCTCTCTCTGGTCTCTCTCTGGTCTCTCTCTGGTCTCTCTCTGGTCTCTCTCTGGTCTCTCTCTCTGGTCTCTCTCTGGTCTCTCTCTCTGGTCTCTCTCTGGTCTCTCTCTGGTCTCTCTCTGGTCTCTCTCTCTGGTCTCTCTCTCTGGTCTCTCTCTGGTCTCTCTCTGGTCTCTCTCTGGTCTCTCTCTCTGGTCTCTCTCTCTGGTCTCTCTCTGGTCTCTCTCTGATCTCTCTCTGGTCTCTCTCTCTGGTCTCTCTCTCTGGTCTCTCTTTCTTTTCTGTGTGGAGAATCTGCTGTGACAGACACCTGTGAAACCAAAGTGTTATAAAGGGACTATAGAGGAACTCACCGTGGTCCTGACCGGGACGTAGAGCACCGGCCCCTCAGTCCCCTCAGACCCCGTCCCGACCTGGAAGCCCTTGGACTTGACCCAGAACTTGAACTTGGCGTTGATGTGGCTGCCGTTCTTCTGCAGGAGCCCATGGTTGGTCTCCTCCCCCTGCAGGGTCTGGAGGATCCTGTTGTACTTGGGTCTGGTCACGGTCTTGGTTTTCCCAGAGTCTCCGTAGGTCCTCAGGCACCAGCTCTGGAACTCTGTGTACATCTCTGAGACTATGTGTCCACACTCCACTGCGGCTGGTACTCTGTCTGCACACACCATCAATGATATACATTTATACACACATTTATACACATACATATATATATGTACGTGTATAACCGTCAAAACATGTCATGGTCATAATAATGTTTTATAATCTTCTTTTCAGGACTCTCAAAGTCTCTTCACATCATCATTCTCTCTCTCCAAACACTGTGGTGATAAACTACTGTAGCCACAGCTACCCTGGGGCACACTGACAGAAGCGAGGCAACCAGTCTGTGCCATCGGCCCCTCCCACCACCACCAACCATTCACACACACACCAGACTCATTCTAGTGTGGGGGAAGTGTCTTGCCTAAGGACACAACCACAGTTTGGCACTTTACAGCCACAGCCGCCCCACTGTGGCTCCTGCTGTTCCCAGAGGTCTCCCATCACAGCCTTAACCAGACCCTGTCCTGCTTAGCTTCAGATGTCTGACAGGATCGGGTTTTGACCAGCAGGTGACAGCCTCAGTCCTGGGTCTACAGCCTCAGTCCTGGGTCTACAGCCTCAGTCCTGGGTACAGCCTCAGTCCTGGGTCTACAGCCTCAGTCCTGGGTCTACAGCCTCAGTCCTGGGTCTAAAGCCTCTGTCCTGGGTCTACAGCCTCAGTCCTGGGTCTACAGCCTCAGTCCTGGGTCTAAAGCCTCTGTCCTGGGTCTTCTTGTAAACTTGCTGAAGAGAGAGATTATTATTTTGTATGGTTTGTGCTATAGTTAATATTCATGTATCTTGTGCGCCTCATTCCCACTGTCCTGTAACCGGCGATGCAACACTGAAATTTCTCCACAGCGTAAAATAATAAACAATCTCATTTTCATCCAAAAGTCAAAAATTGTCCAAATCACCAAAAACCACTCGTTCTAATGTACTGTTAATATTATATTTAAATGCCTTGTGTTTCCATCTTGTTTTGTTCTAAACTGAGAGTTTGAACCAGTAAAATGTCCGTAAATGTGAATATTCTGTGTTTACGGCTCGTTTCCCTCAAAAAGCACCAACGCACGTAAATAATGACAAAGCAGAAACATATTTGGACAGAATTATAATAACACAGAAACAGAAGAAGACATTTGCTTTGGCTGAGGACCCAGGGGCACGCTCTTACCGAACCCCGCTCTCAGGCACCTGTAGCGGTCTGTCCCGCGGGGGATGCCTCGCTGCTCCGGGGATGGAGAATCAAGCTCCAACGCGGCGTTTTATGACGAAAAGAGCGAGTGTCAAAGCACTGCGGGCTCCCATGGTGATCTGCGGAGGCAAAGGCAGGAGAGACGAGAGACTTACGCGGAAAAAAACGGACGGAAATGTCGCAAAAATAACAATGATCCACGGAGCTCTGCGTCCCGGGGCTGATGGGAGAAGCTCCGGACACCTGTTAGAGTCGATCCACCTTAAAAGTCCACACGCGCCACCTTAATTTTAAGCTAAAATGACAGGAACGCGTGAGATGTGACGAGCGCGGCGGTGTCGGTGTGAGATGTGATGAGAGCAGGACATGAGGCGGCTGTAGTTCCTCTTGTGTGTGGCTCCGAATGAGGAAGAGTCCCAAACAGAGGCCCCCGTCCCAACAGCTCACAGCAGCATGTAGCCCAGAAGAGAACAGAACCTTTATCTGTCCACAAAATATATATATAAAACAAGCTGCTGTTTCTTAACTCGTTGTAAATGTTTCATAAGAGCAGAGTAAATACCATCAAACATCTATATTTATCTAGTGTCACTTATATACAATAAAACTGTGATTATTTATGATTTAATGCCTTGTGTGATTGTTTTGTCCAGAACTTTGATTTGCCTTGTGTATGAACTGTGCTACACAAAATAAACTAGCCTTGCCATTCAATTCTGGCAAACTGTAACGTAGAACAAAGCTTATATCTGGATTTAAAAGGAGAGCGCACGGCTAAAGATACTGATTTATTTGATGTTTTATTTATTAAGGACTTTGACATAAGCACACGTACCATACGATCAAGATAGAAAACTAAATCATAAAAGAGAAAACAAAAAAAATATGTATTGAATTTGCTAAAACAGATTAGTGCTGTAAGAATAATATTTAAAGTCGTACATTTCTCTGGTGTGTTTGAGCCACTTTTTCTTGAGCAAAGACAGTTTTCTGCTCAGTCCAGGTGCGTCAGTGACAAAGGAAACGCAGCCCCACCACAGACACCCTCCCCCCTGGTCTCCCCCCTGGTCTCCCCCCTGGTCTCCCCCTGGTCTCCCCCTGGTACCTCCCGCTCCCCCAGAGCACAGACAGGTGCAGGTCCCAAACGGCTGCGTTGGAGGATCTGTTTGTTTCTGGTTCTAACGTCCCAAAGGTTCTTCTCCGTTTGTTTTAACTCTAAAGTTAAAAATGACTTAAATCTGGAAAGACTCAAGACGAAGATTAGAATATTTATCGATGCATGAACAGACAGCAGCAAACTAAGGCCCTGTTTATACTGCGACGCTGCGCAGACGTTTCCAGGCTATTAACAGAAATGACCAGGCTCCTAATGCAAATTTCTCAGCGTTCACATGAGGTTGAAAAACGATGTAGTTCTAGCGCCCGGCCAGTAGGGGGCAGAGAAACTTTACAACACTCACACGACCCCCAGCCCCGTGTCCAGCCCCCCTCTCTGCAGTGTACTCACTTCCTGTGCCAGACCCTCAGAACGTACCAGCATCATTCTGCATTTTAACAGCGGCTGTGAACATGGGAACTGAACCTAGAGCTTCGCGTGGTCTCGTTTGGACGAACGAAGGAGTAGAATTATCGCAGCACGGAGGCGGGGGTCAGAGCAGAGGGGGATTTGACACCTTTCCCCTCTCGCGGGTGTGAAAGAGCTCCCGCTGTGCAGCGTTTCTGAGTTGTCCCACTCTGAGGCTGGATCTGAACACTTACGTTTTCACCTGGAACACAGTCTCCGTATGAACGGTTGGTAGAAACCGACATCCAACTATACCGTTTTACTGCCACATTGTCTCCGTGTAAACTCAGCCTTAGACTAATATAATTATTGCATTGGGATCTGAGATTAACAGACACTACGAGCTTGCGACCCCCCGGGGCCTAGAACCTGGTGGTGATGGGGAGGAGGTGGGTTGCTGCTCAAACAGCAGCTTGAGCTGCAGAGAACAGAGAGGTGCTGTAATAACCAGGGCAGGGTCTGGTTAGTGCTGTGATGGGAGACCTCTGGGAACAGCAGGTGCCACAGTGGGGCGGTTGTGGCTGTAAAGTGCCAAACTGTGGTTGTGTCCTTAGGCAAGACACTGAAGAGAAAACCAATGCATTATTATGACTGTACAATCACCTGCTCTGAGGGTGAAGTGAAGCTAAACCAGGTTTTATAATGTTGCCTTGGCGACCGTTCTCCTCTTGGTTTTCCTTGTATCATTCAGAAAGTTAGAACATTAGACTCAGTGAAACTGTCCATAAGAGTGAGTCCTTTGGAGAGACAGGAAGTGGAGTTTAGTGCAGACTGTGATCTGCTTCTGGGACAGTTCCTGGTTCAGTCTGAGCTGAAAGAGGAAGAGAAACCAGAACAGGAAGTCCATCTCAGGACGGCCCGACTTCAGCCCCGTCAACACTTCATCAACACACGAGACATTAGCTCTACTCAACACAGTGTATTATGGATCTGCTTTGACTCGGCAACAAGATGGCGGCACGTTCAGGGTCACATACTTTCAGACATTTACAGAAAAAACACTTTGGAAACATGTGCAAAGTCCCGACTGCAGCAGAAAAACTGCCATAAACAAACTAAAAATACAGATACAGTCATCTCTACTGCTGCTGCTGCTGCTGCTGCTGCTGCTGCTGCTGCTGCTGCTGCTGCTGCTGCTGCTGCTGCTGCTGCTGCTGCTGCTGCTGCTGCTGCTGCTGCTGCTGCTGCTGCTGCTGCTGCTGCAGCTGCTGCTGCTGCTGCTGCTGCTGCTGCTGCTGCTGCTGCTACTGCTACTGCTGCTGCTGCTGCTGCTGCTGCTGCTGCTGCTGCTGCTGCTGCTGCTGCTGCTGCTGCTGCTGCTGCTGCTGCTGCTGCTGCTGCTGCTGCTGCTGCTGCTGCTACTGCTACTGCTGCTGCTGCTGCTGCTACTGCTACTGCTGCTACTGCTGCTGCTGCTGCTGCTGCTGCTACTGCTGCTGCTGCTGCTGCTGCTACTGCTGCTGCTGCTGCTGCTACTACTACTGCAGCTGCCACTGCTGCTGCTGCCGCTGCCGCTGCTGCTGCTGCAGCTGCCGCTGCTGCTGCTGCTGCTGCTGCTGCTGCTGCTACTGCTGCTGCTGCGGCTGCCACTGCTGCTGCAGCTGCCCCTGCTGCTGCTGCTGGCCGCTGCTGCTGCTGCTGCTACTGCTACTGCTGCTGCTGCTGCTGCTGCTGCTGCTGCTGCTGCTGCTGCTGCTGCTGCTACTGCTACTGCTGCTGCTGCTGCTGCTGCTGCTGCTACTGCTACTGCTGCTACTGCTGCTGCTGCTGCTGCTGCTGCAGCTGCTGCTGCTGCTGCTGCTGCTGCTACTGCTACTGCTGCTGCTGCTGCTGCTGCTGCTGCTGCTGCTGCTACTGCTACTGCTGCTGCCGCTGCTGCTGCTGCCGCTGCCGCTGCTGCTGCTGCCGCTGCCGCTGCTGCTGCTGCTGCTGCTACTGCTGCTGCTGCGTCTGCCACTGCTGCTGCAGCTGCCACTGCTGCTGCTGCTGCCGCTGCTGCTGCTGCTGCTACTGCTGCTGCTACTGCTACTGCTGCTACTGCTGCTGCTGCTGCTGCTGCAGCTGCTGCTGCTGCTGCTGCTGCTGCTACTGCTACTGCTGCTGCTGCTGCTGCTGCTGCTGCTGCTGCTACTACTGCAGCTGCCACTGCTGCTGCTGCCGCTGCCGCTGCTGCTGCTGCCGCTGCCGCTGCTGCTGCTGCTGCTGCTGCTGCTGCTGCTACTGCTGCTGCTGCGTCTGCCACTGCTGCTGCAGCTGCCACTGCTGCTGCTGCTGCCGCTGCTGCTGCTGCTGCTACTGCTACTACTGCTGCTGCTGCTGCTGCTGCTGCTACTACTGCTGCTGCTGCCACTGCTGCTGCAGCTGCCACTGCTGCTGCTGCCGCTGCTGCTGCTGCTACTGCTGCTGCAGCTGCCACTGCTGCTGCTGCTGCTGCCACTGCTGCTGCTGCTGCTACTGCTGCTGCTGCTGCTACTACTGCTGCTGCTGCCACTGCTGCTGCAGCTGCCACTGCTGCTGCTGCTGCTGCTGCTGCTGCCTGGTTAGTGGTGTGATGGGAGACCTCTGGGAACACCAGGTGCCACAGTGGGGCGGCTGTGGCTGTAAAGTGCCAAACTGTGGTTGTGTCCTTAGGCAAGACACTTCCCCCACATTAGAATGAGTCTGGTGTGTGTGTGAGTGGTTGGTGGTGGTGGGAGGGGCCGATGGCACAGACTGGTTGCCTCGCTTCTGTCAGTGTGCCCCAGGGCAGCTGTGGCTACAGTAGTTAATCACCACCGTGTTTAGAGAGAGAGAATCATGATGTGAAGAGACTTTGGGAGTCCAGAAAAGAGCTGTATAAAACCTCATTATTATTATTAGTATTATTACTAATAAAACTAATAATTTATTAATATTATTAGTAGTTTACATTCTGTGTATTTCCTTCGACCTTCACTACAGAAAACACCATAACTCTCTGAACAAAGGATTAAGGACAAAGTGCTGCAGTGTTAAGTGCGTCTGATGTGCGTCTGTGATTGGCTGAGGCCCCGGAGACCTGCTCTGCGGCGGTGAAGGCTCCACACGGACCTGCTCCTCCTGCTCCTCCTACTCCTCCTGCTCCTCCTGCTCCTCCTGCCCCTCCTGCTCCTCCTGCCCCTCCTGCTCCTCCTGCTCCTCCTGCCCCTCCTGCTCCTCCTGCCCCTCCTGCTCCTCCTGCCCCTCCTGCTCCTCCTGCCCCTCCTGCTCCTCCTGCCCCTCCTGCTCCTCCTGCTCCTCCTGCTCCTCCTGCTCCTCCTGCCCCTCCTGCTCCTCCTGCCCCTCCTGCTCCTCCTGCTCCTCCTGCCCCTCCTGCTCCTCCTGCCCCTCCTGCTCCTCCTGCTCCTCCTGCTCCTCCTGCCCCTCCTGCTCCTCCTGCTCCTCCTGCTCCTCCTGCTCCTCCTGCCCCTCCTGCTCCTCCTGCCCCTCCTGCCCCTCCTGCTCCTCCTGCCCCTCCTACTCCTCCTAGTCCTCCTGCTCCTCCTGCTCCTCCTGCCCCTCCTGCCCCTCCTGCTCCTCCTGCCCCTCCTACTCCTCCTAGTCCTCCTGCTCCTCCTGCTCCTCCTGCCCCTCCTGCTCCTCCTGCTCCTCCTGCTCCTCCTGCTCCTCCTGCCCCTCCTGCTCCTCCTGCCCCTCCTACTCCTCCTAGTCCTCCTGCTCCTCCTGCTCCTCCTGCCCCTCCTGCCCCTCCTGCTCCTCCTACTCCTCCTACTCCTCCTAGTCCTCCTGCTCCTCCTGCTCCTCCTGAACACACACTATAGAACACACACTATAGAACACACACTATAGACCACACACTATAGAACACACACTATAGAACACTCTATAGAACATACACTATAGAACACACACTATAGAACACACTATAGGACACACACTATAGAACACACACTATAGAACACACACTATAGAACACACACTATAGACCACACACTATAGAACCCACACTATAGGACATACACTATAGAACACACACTATAGAACACACTATAGAACATACACTATAGAACACACACTATAGAACACACTATAGAACATACACTATAGAACACACACTATAGAACACACTATAGAACATACACTATAGAACACACTATAGAACATACACTATAGAACACACTATAGAACATACACTATAGAACACACACTATAGAACACACTATAGAACATACACTATAGAACACACTATAGAACATACACTATAGAACACACTATAGAACATACACTATAGAACACACTATAGAACATACACTATAGAACACACACTATATAACACACTATAGAACATACACTATAGAACACACACTATAGAACACACTATAGAACATACACTATAGAACACACTATAGAACATACACTATAGAACACACTATAGAACATACACTATAGAACACACTATAGAACATACACTATAGAACACACACTATATAACACACTATAGAACATACACTATAGAACACACACTATAGAACACACTATAGAACACACACTATAGAACACACTATAGAACATACACTATAGAACACACACTATAGAACACACACTATAGGGCGGCACGGTGGCTGAGTAGATAGCACTCTCGCCTCTCAGCAAGAAGGTCCTGGGTTCGAATCCCGGTCGGACCAGGGCCTTTCTGAGTGGAGTTTGCATGTTCTCCCCGTGTCTGCGTAGGTTTCCTCCAGGTACTCCGGTTTCCCCTACCACTAAAAATATGTCCAATAGTTCTAGCATGTGCCTCCTGTACTGGCACCTCCCATCTCTGTGTGGAGATGTTAATCATTGTAAACCGCTTTGAGACTCAGATCTGCAGTGAAAAGGCGGTAATACATAAAAACTTACTTACTTATTTACTATAGAACACACACTATAGAATAAACACTAAAAAACACACACTATAGAACACACTATAGAACACACTATAGAACACACACTATAGAACACACTATAGAACACCCACTATAGAGCAGACACTATAGAACACACACTATAGAACACACACTATAGAGCACACACTATAGAACACACACTATAGAACACACACTAGAACACACTATAGAACACACTATAGAACACACACTATAGAGCACACACTATAGAACACACACTATAGAACACACACTAGAACACACTATAGAACACACTATAGAACACACTATAGAACACACTATAACACACACTATAGAACACACTATAGAACACACACTAAAAAACACAATATAGAACACACTATAGAGCACACACTATAGAACACACACTATAGAACACACACTATAGAGCACACACTATAGAACACACACTATAGAACACACTATAGAACACACACTATAGAACACACTATAGAACACACACTATAGAACACACTATAGAACACACACTATAGAACACACTATAGAACACACACTATAGAACACACACTATAGAACACACTATAGAACACACACTATAGAACACACTATAGAACACACACTATAGAGCACACACTATAGAACACACACTATAGAACACACTATAGAACACACACTATAGAACACACACTATAGAACACACTATAGAACACACACTATAGAACACACTATAGAACACACACTAAAAAACACAATATAGAACACACTATAGAGCACACACTATAGAACACACACTATAGAACACACACTATAGAACACACACTATAGAGCACACACTATAGAACACACACTATAGAACACACTATAGAACACACACTATAGAACACACACTATAGAACACACTATAGAACACACACTATAGAACACACACTATAGAACACACTATAGAACACACACTATAGAACACACTATAGAACACACACTA